TCCAGAGGAAACAACGCAACTCCCGAAACGACGAAAACGTTCGTTAAAGACTTTCGTTCGACAGACTTTCGCCATAAAAGCGGCATCAGCCGTTAACCTTGATTACCTTGGTAACCCCGATTATACGAGACTATAAGCAAAAAATTCAACTAATCGTGTCTGGAGTATCATCCAACGACCCTCCACCAGTCACAGTGATCGCTCTGCTCTCGATCACGCACGAAAAAAGCCTAATCCTTGCATCGAGAGCTAGTTCCCTCCAACCCTGACGCGGATTCTCCGACTCTGGTCTCAACCTTTCGATTCTTTATCCTGACGTCTGCCATCGGAAGAAAACGCGACAACGGGAGAGAAATTTAACGAGATTATACTTGGCGAATTGTTTTCGGAATTGTCTCCCCATCCATCAACTCGCTGAACTGCTCCATAGTTTCTAGAGTTTGGAGTATCTTGCGGAGACTTTGGTGATTCTTCCTCTGTTGGGTTAATGGGAATGTAACGTCAGCTTTTCACCGTGATAAGATGAATCTCACGCGTCACCGTTGACGATGAGATCACCTTATCAGAATTTCACTTCTACCTTAGATCGCAGCATCGAGTTATCCATGCAAACTTAAAGCGATTTCAAAATCAGATGGACGCTTGTCTCGACAGATCTCAGTCGATAGAATTGTTGCAAGAAACTTTTCTTTGCTCGACGCCTTTGTTACTCGAAATACGAGTGTCGGGGGATATAAAAATTCGAACGAACGGAGATTTCCTCGGTATGGCTTTTAGTGAAAGGGCAAATCCCTTTATTTAAAGAAGAAGGTCGATATACGGTGCGAGGCACTTTCCTACATCGCCAAAAATATTATCGTTTCTGTTACGGACATGCCGAAGCACACGAAAGAGGAATTGTTTGGACAGAAAGAGCAAATATTTTGACGGGCAGAACATCTCCCCGAGAATCTCGCGTCGCAACGCCTCAAGCTCGCCGATGTTCTCGCAAATGGACCAATATACGCGATTCGACCCAAAAGATTCGATACTTAAATCAAAAGAGACAATTTTTGCTATCAATTAATCGAAATATACAGTTTGGAATGATTATATAGAGATGTCTCTGACGCTGATTCCAAAATGGCCGACGTTTGTCTAAACGATTTTTTAGTCACCAATAAACATGAATTTAAGACCAAATAGGAAATTAAACGAAGTATGAATTATGTCAGAACGCTAATAACGATTTAATGGCTTAATGACGAGGTACACTGTCAAAGGTTAGAACGAAACCTAATCTCAATTATCGCGAATGGTTGCTCGTGGATAACGTTACGGGGAACATCTTGTATTTGCAAGGCGCGTAAAAGCTGACGCAGAGAAGCTTCAACGGCTTCTAGCGGAGGAGACACCTCGATAGACTTAAGTTAACAATGGAGATTCGTGGAAAGTTACTGCGCGCATTCGAATGAATTTCTCGTTGAAACGCCTCCGCGTTCCACGGAGTTGCTCCATAAGAACAACTCTGCAGTCTTGCTGATCCGCCGTTTGCAGCGAGCTCGTCTATTAAAGTGCCCCGGGAAACATTGCGTTAGTATACTTTCTGTTATTTTCGAATCATCGAAATATAATACACGGTCAGAAATTTCTTCCGAAAACAACACTTTAAATACATTTTTCCAAGCGACGTAAGAGTATCAGTTTAGAAATTCAATGTTAAAAGCTTCGAGAGCTCTTATCGACTCGGAAATAAATTTCTTCCTGGGGATCCTCACACTTTGGTTAAATAAAATATGAATATCCAGCCTCGAAACTCAATATTAAAGCTTGAGAGCTCTCAGCGATACTACGACCGACAAGTTGTCCTCTTGTTTCGTCGTTTGTTTACGGGGCGAGCAAATAAATTAGATTATTTATACAGAGTGAATAAAAAACAATAAAAAAAGGTTCGTATAAACATACATACGTCCTATTCAATCTTGTTTTCGAGTTATGGCGAGTTTCTTCTTTGATACACCGTATTTGCTCACATTCGCAACAAATGCTCGAAATGAACTCCTTGCATCTGAACACAGGCCTGGAGAAGTTTTATCGTTGACTGTTTTACCCTTTCCATTTGTCCAAACAATGTGGAATAGGACGTATGTTTATTATTTTCGTGTGTAGAATCTAGTCCTGAGATGGGTCCCCAAAACAAAGTTCGGTCGAAACGTCGGCTCCATGAATGAAAGTTTCGCGGGGAACATTTTCTGGGGCAGCGGGACGTTATTGGAATACCGAAACATGACCGAGAATCCTAGTGAAACTGAACGTTTCGCGCAGGTCTGGATCCACTCTTTCGCGTTCTTCTTCGCCGGTGTAATTTACAAGCTTCCCGAGGAGTTTCGAAGCCTCCACGTTTGCTCAGCCGGTGCTCTCGGAGGCGCTCGAGAAAGTTTCTCCGCGGAAAATATGCACGCCTACCTCCCCCCCTCCCCCAACGCGGCAGCATCCAGGAGACAAACACAACGATTGGACGAACGCGCTCGAAACCGTGGCAAATCCTCTTAACAAATAGTCGAGGCATCGCGGAACCGGAGGCTGAGCGACGATCATTAAGCTATCTCGAGCTCGCAAGCCAATCGGCTTAGTTTACATCCAGTTGGTGGGCTAACAAGGCCCTGGATAAGATTAGAGTTTCGATCCGTTCCCGTTATCGGAGGCCGAAATTTCACCAACGATACAAATCGGCCGCCCGCGACACAGTCGCTGTCCTGTTCGTCGTTTCTTTCTCTTTCGTTTTCTCCGAATCCATCGTCAAATAGCCCGTAGACCGACGAGCGACTCCCGCGATAGGAATGATCTACCAACGACATTTCCATAGTATCATCCGCGGACGTTCTTTGGATCCCGATGAGAGTCGAGATTTCCACCTTACACGTCGCCGGATACCGCGAGCCGCGCGGAGCTTCCCATTCGATTGTTCGCCAGCACTCTCCACCCCCTGCCACCCACAACCCCCCTGGCCCCGCCCCAAAAGTAACCCCGAGAAATCTTTAGTTCTAGCCGATGCGAGTCCTTTAGTCTAGCGGTAGCGCTGAGCTAGTAGTGGTCAGCTTTAGATGATAGAGGATCCATTGAGTTTCCAACGCTTGTTCGAGTCTCCGTTCACCCGACCACCCCCTCCGTCCGAACACCCGCGATCGAAGAGTAAAGAAAGACAGGCCTAGAGAAGGATTGACGAGGGACGGAGGCGGCAATCGATCCCCAACGATCGCGCGTTCGGCACACCGTCTGCTTTCTCTATGAACGTACTCTTTTACTGTCCGTCCGGCTTTCTAGACGATGTACGACAAGGTGGTACGCTTCCGACGACCTCGAACCGCTCGTGAACTCGACGTGTGAACCTGTCGAACCGGGGCTGCGTGGAGTTTGGGAACGTACGTGCTGCTGCGATTCGGTTTGTTGGCTAAAATCCTTTATCCAGACACGGGATCACCTGCAATTTTTATTTGTTTATTTTCTTTTAGGAACACAGAACGAAACTTGCTAGGGTTCTTTTTAAATCATTAAAAAAATACAATATTTGATGCCTTCCATACTGTTTTATTTCTAATTTAACAATATTAGAAATCAATATAGGGCAACGAAACAAATAATATTATCACAATAGTTAACTGAAACTTTCGTATAGAATTTGAATAGATCATTAGGTGTCCCGTGGTACCGGACATAGCATAAGTTCAGAACGTGCCTCAAAACAGTTTCAATGTAATTTACAGCGATCCTAAGCATAGTTATAATTCAGTGCTGAAATTTTTAATAACGTACAGTCTATTTGAAAGGTGATCTCGGTGTCTGGATAATAAGATACCAAAACCTGATTATTATATTCTGTATCACCTAACTTTATGACTTAACAAGATGTTTTCAGGAGATTGCCAAGTATTTTCTAAGAAAGTTGTGCTGTTTCGTCGTGCAGCTTTTATAGGAAGTACCTGGTAATTCTAAAATAGAAGGCAACTTTTGCTTGATAAAGTTAGGCGATGCAGACTGCACACCCCTTTGAACACCACGAAGTTTTTGTTCGATGGTTGTTACGGGCTACGAGCAGTTTACTAGTAATTCGATGTCGACGGTATGAACGAATCACCCTGTATGTATGGGTAATTCGGTAGAAAAGGTACTAGCTTCGGGAGACAATAATATCAAACACATGACGATTGTGAAGCTATTCGAACCGGGAAGTTGAAAATTATAATCAATCCTTTGAGTGCTGTGGACGATTATCACGTTAAATTTTACTATTTATTATCCAATTAAATACTTCATTGAGAGAATTACATTTGCAACTTAGTTGGGTCCCGCATAATCGATCAACAGAGTTCACGCTAGCGTACGGTGTTTCGTTTGAAATCGAACACTTTGGAGTATCGGGCACTCAAAGGGTTAATATGGAATTAGTCTGAAGGCGAAGACGTTTCTATCGACGAGTCGGTTTAACAGTTTCCATTTCGAGCGAAGACCGGCGGTCTCGCCTTACAGTTATTACTTCCAAAGTTCAAGTAGTTGCAAGGATCAGTCCTACGTGACTGTAAAACGTGAGAGACAACTGTTGCCCAAGACACATTCGAAAAGGAAATACCTCCGACTTTCACGGTCCAAGTTTTTACAGCCGCCATTTCGAGTTTCCAGAGACACGTCGAAATTTCCTTTCGAAATTTCAACGTCTCGCGTACATTCGGGTGTTTAAAAATGCATTCGTGTGCATTAACGTTCGACTGAAATTTTGCATAACAAATAGTCGATATAACGTCAGAAAGGAAGGGACTCGAATAGCTTCGATTATTAGTTAAAAATTCGCGACGTCGCCTCTCGAAGCATGTACCTTCGTCTGCAGAATCCATCCCAGTGTACACACCACGTCTCTTCTCACGTAATCCATAGTTAGCCTTGTCTTTAGTCACTCGTTAAACACTGCACTTGTGCCTATGTAAAGAGTTGTGTCCAAAATAACAACGTGATAAAAACACACCCAGTTCCCCTGGTGGTGCAAATCGTCGTCGACGACAATGCCGACGACGCCGCCGCCGCCCATGGCTATGGTAGCCGGTCCAGGATCCGGTTCCGGTCCTCAGGGCGCCCAGGGGGTCGTTCTCTGTCCACGTACGCTGTCGCAGGTCCGACGATCACGGCTGCGAAGGGCCCTCACCGAGGCGACCGCCGAGACCGTCAACTACGTCAAGACGGTGGGCACGATACAAACCGTAAATTGCCTGATAATACCTTAACCATATACACACGATATATAGCATTTGCATCGTAAACACACGGACGCACGCGCGGTTATCACCCACACGAAGGTTGTGCTCCTTTGGAGTTGCCCCCTTTTTTATTTTGAGTTTTATAAGGTACAGAGAAACCTCGTTTTAACCCTTCAAGTACAATCGTTCGTATCCACAAATCGTAATTGTCGACACTTAATAGTGTATTTTTAATAGCTACACTCTCATTTCTATTCGTGCACTATTGTGGTGGCTCGCTATTGTTGAAAAGAAACTTGTTTTTCTTATGAATTTTTCTCTATTTATAGAGAGATATAATAATATTAAATAGTATACTTTTTCTCGAGCTGTAACCCATCCTGACAAATTTTATTTTTAATTTAAAAAATGGATCTAATATTAATGTTAAAAATAGGCTTCTTTTCATTTATACTGAATCACCATTATAGTGTACGAATACGAGTGTGAATAACTGTTTACTTTTTTAACATCTGTCTCCTGACGTTATTCTTTCAAAAATAACATACTTTATTATATCATTTAAGATTAAACGTCATACCTGAGGGGTTAATTTTGCGCTTAAAGAGTCAAATTGCGCCTAAACATACTTTTTGAAAATTAATTTCAAGTCTACATTCTTGTTTGATACGCGCTGTTTGTTCATATCATACAAAGTTTTGAGAAATTTTTATTCAGTTATTATATTGTACTATTTTCAGTTTAGGGGAACACCATGCACGCGTAAAAATATACTATACCTATAAAAGTTTATGTTCTAGTCGCATGGTGTTTATGACTATCCATATCAGGTTATAAGTTTCTGTGATTTATTTAAATATTTTGTCCGAAGCTTAATTTCCAAAAGAGCACAGCCACTGTAAGATGGAAACACAGATACTCGAATTTCCACATTTTTCTTTGCAAAGAATACTAAAATAGCAAAAATGAAACTACGGATCTTCGATTCTGATGAAAGTCAGCATTCTTCTCTTAGAATGGGAGGATTCAGTTTCGTTGAATTCTGATTAAAAGTCCGCATAAACGCGAGCGAGACAAATTTGAGATTAAATTTTATAAAATCGTTTCGACTCGAATTCGAGCGAATGAAAATTATAAATTTAAATTCAATTCTTTCTCGCTTTCGTTGAGGCTGAACGAAGACTTAAAATTCAAGTTAATATCGTCTGTCGAATCGTTTCAACTTCTTTGCATAGATCTCTGACCGTATCGTGGTTTTCGACCTTACTTTCTACGCTGGTGTACGCGCGATAGCGATGCAGCATGCATTTTATCGTGCGTACGCGAGATTATGTCTTCGTAGTTAGCGTCACCGACCCATAGAATACGCCTCTCACCCACTACTCACAACCACGCTATGAAGTATTGCCGCCAATCCAGCAAATTCTCTCACCAACCATGACCTGCATTCTCGAATCGTTCGATATCACGAAAAAAAATGTATCGGAAATGAAATTTCGCGTCCCGTCCGTTAAAGTTCTTTGGAAACGAGAGCCCTCGACTTCGAAAGGTAAGACAACTTTTCCGAAGCGACTTCGCTGATGAAGAAACCGCGTCGCAACGATAAGCACATCGAAACTAATCAGCTTGAAATTCTACTGTGATATTGATACGAAAGGTAATGCCAAAATATAAAATTTTATTTAGTTTTAGGAAAAGCGTTTTCAAAATTTTATCGATCTACTTGAAAAATAAGTATTTCTTTAGTAGACGATGCCAGTTTGTAATTGGAAAGGAAATGCAATTTTAAGACAGGAAGTTCAAACGTATCATGTTCTGACTATATAGCACGGTAATGTCTTCGCGAGATTACAGTTGGAAACTTTTTCTTGGGATCTTGAGTCGTTAAGTTTAGAGCACCGAAGGATGAGAAATGCCATGTGGAAAGCAGAGGAGGTATTAACTAACTTGCACGGTGAATTATTATCGTCGTAATTAAAACAGGCTCATCCATCGTGTGTCTCACAAATTTTACAGTCTCAATTTTTCAAACGAAAAAGCACGCTGATTAATGAGATTCGAACGTCTCGATCTTCATTTCTCGATCTTCATCTAAATAGAAAGTAAATATCAAATAGTATCGCAAGAAGATACAGTTATTCCTATCTGGAAATTGCATTTGTTATTCCACTTTAAATTAGCATCTTATCACAGTAGTGTGTTATAGTTAGATAGTCGAACTTTTTAATTATTTTGTCTCTTAAATCTAGTAACAGATTTTAAATATTTCCTCCTCTCAAGAATTCTTCACTTAAGAAATGATTGTAATATATACTCAAAAATTATTTTCCATGCATTTTAAATTTATGTTACAATGTCTAAAAGAAACTTGCCCACTTTTGCTTGGAAATTACACTTTTATTTTATTAGATAAGTGTTTCCAAACCCTCGGTATCAAGTCTTTCACCGACATTTTGTGGACAGCTACGTGTGCGCGATAGTAGTTCTCACCACAGGCGAGATATATGAGTAGATCTACACCTTATGGACTTTCAATCCCACTGACATACGAACCGAGATTGAAAAATTTCAAATCGTTCTAAAAAAATTATTTTTAGTTACAGCGGTCAATTGCAATCATTTTTGGTGAATAGACATACCACCGAAATCCTACGCACTTTCGAGTAAAAAATTCGAGTAGGTAGACAAATTTTTCGACAAAATTAAAAGATTTCAAATCGTTCTAAAAAAATTATTTTTGGTTGTAAAGGTCAATTGCAATCATTTTTGGTGAATAGACATACCCCCGAAATCCTACGCACTTTCGAGAAAAAAAATTCTTTACCGAAAATGCAATGTCTGACCATATTGCGAATGTTTCCCTTGAAATTTTTCGGCGAAAAAAAAAATTTGCGAAACGTTCTGAAAAAATTATTTTCAGTTGCAGGGGTCAATTACAATCGGTTTTGGTAAATAGACATATTCTCGAATTCCCACGCAGTTTCGAGAAAAAAATTCAGTAAGTGCTGGAATTTTTCGACGAAATTAAAATATTTCAAATCGTTCTGGAAAAAATATTATTAACTGTGGGGATCAATTACAATCATTTTTTATGAATAAATATACCTTCGATATCCCACTCAGTTTCGAGAAAAAAATTCCTTACCGAAAATCTAATTTGAGGCCTGAAATGGTTTCTTGAAATTTAAAACATCGTAACATCTGAACGAATTGGACGATTTTAATGTTTCAAAATGCATACGACGCGTATTTTAGTCAAGAATATGTAAAAATTCCGAAACTATTCGAAAAGTTGTTCCTTAACCCCATAAACTGAGAGAAACTCTGTTATAGTGGTCCAATTTTCAAATGTCCATAACTTCTACAATAGTCAATGGATTTCATTGAAATTTAGTCTGGAAGTGGATCTTACGGGTACCTACAAAAAGGTATTAGACAACATTTTTGTACAGCGCCGAACAAGTTTGTTATAAAGAAAAACGAATTTCTAAGAAAAATCAACAGGGGGTAGGTGCCTAAATTTTTCGGCGAAAAAAAAATTTCAAATCGTTCTAGAAAAATTATTTTCAGTTGCAAAGGTCAATTACAATCATTTTTGGAGAATAGACATACCACCGAAATCCTACGCATTTTCGAAAAAAAAATTCTTTACTGGAAGTACAATATCTGATCCTAAAAATGAAAACAATGGGTATTAATGGGGCTCTTGAACTCTAGAAAAATGGGCCCAAAAAATATATTGGATGCAAGGTCCACTCATATACCTCGTCTGTTTGCGGATTGTCATTCCACAGGCGGAACTTTAAACATTAATAACTTTTTAACGGAGCCTCAATCAACAAATTGTTATTCTTGATTTTCGTCTTATTTTGGTCTCTAGAATCTTCCATTAAATTTTTTCCCAGGGTTGACCGAACACCCTGTATTTTTGTTTGTCCGTTAAAAATCGCAACACGTATATCTCGGTTCGCGACGACACGAGAAACGAGGTTTAATATCGCGTTCTTCGCTCTCGAATTTACCGCGCGTTTTCTGGAACTGACTTAGCCCGCGTTCGTCGAATTTACGATCCGAAATTTTTATTCCAGCGAGCGCCAAAGGGTCATCGTAAAGCTCCGAGAAATAACGTGAGATTACCATTTCGCATCTTTTAGAGGCGACACCTATTCGGGTCGTTTAGTTTTCATCTTCCGTTGGCCTGGAAAAACGTGAAACTTTAATAACGAATTTCATACCTCACCATTAGATTATAAACACGTTCTCTTTAAATTAAAAATTTAATTTCTTTTTAAATCTCTGTGTGTATCTTTGAGACGTATAGCTGAATTATGCAACCAATTTTTCGCCGTCTTTGGTCTCGCGTTCGCCGGCTTCGTGTAGCTTCATTGTTATGCCTTTCGAAGAACAACTGCGGAGAAACCAAAGAGCTAAGACAGATTGTAATTCCTCGTCTCGGAGACGACGGTCTGTTACTCCCGTATGTTCGCGCTTTTCATCGTACGCTGCACGAAAACAGAGCCTCCAACGAATTCCTGGCGTTCGTTTTTGGTGGGCGAGCACGTCGCGAATTACAATGCGTCTCTTTCCGCGAACGACAGCGAAAAGCCCAGCCTCGAAGTTCGTTTTTGTTCGTGGACAGCCTCGACGTTAAATTTATCCTCGCGCAACGCCGGATCCCGTCCCGCGGCGTCTCGGGAGAAAGTTCGGTACAAAGCAGTCATTGTTCGTCGATTTCTTCGTTTTTTCCTCGCGGAATTATTACCGTCGATATTAAGGGAGCAGCGTCGCTGGTATTCCGCCGATGCCTCGGATAATTGAACGCGTTACGGATGCTCCCCGGCGACCGGAAGTCTTGCACAAACTCGACGGAATCTTGGCATAGTTCGCGTCGAAAACGAACGGCTGGCAAATTTTCGAACAAAATTTTCTTGCGAACCGAATACCGCGTCGAAACCGTGCAATATCCCCGCGGGACGAAAAATTCG